CACCACCCAGCCGCTGTCAGCCGTCGATTGTCCACACCCCGCCTATTGGCCGTCTCCCTCAGGACTCCGCCCCATGCCTGAGACCGACCAATCGGCCCTACTTCCGTTCTTTAGCAACAGCGGCTCATGGAAGGGGGGCATCTGGGTGTCTTTCATTCTGTCCTTCCATTGGACTCTGGTCTTGCCCATCAAAGGAAGGGCTAAATTTTCCGTTTCGGATTGGACAGAAGGCTCGAAGTCTCTGCCCTGACTCCGCCCTCCAACGGAGAAGGAAGGGGCTGGGCTAAACTTACCGAACAAGGGCGGCGATTGGCTATGGAGGGAGGGGGCAAATCAGTCAGGACCTATCCCCGCCTCCTTTGTTTGGGGTTAAAGGTGAGCGAGGGGTAACCTAGCAACAGAGACACGCTGGTTTCGGATTGGACAGAAGGCTCGAAGTCTCTGCCCTGACTCCGCCCTCCAACGGAGAAGGAAGGGGCTGGGCTAAACTTACCGAACAAGGGCGGCGATTGGCTATGGAGGGAGGGGGCAAATCAGTCAGGACCTATCCCCGCCTCCTTTGTTTGGGGTTAAAGGTGAGCGAGGGGTAACCTAGCAACAGAGACACGCTGGAAGAGGACCGGAAGGACTGAGCAACCAGCCCTCTTCCCCCCCAAAGCAGGGCATCCCTGCCCCATCTCAGTCTAGTCTCACAAGGGCTGGAGAGTTTTCCTTCCACTTTTCAGCATAGGAAACAAACAGCTCATTAGCTGTCTCAGGCACTGGAGGCTAACCACTAGAATTAGTTTCACCTCCAGCACAGGAAGGTGGGCTGTCATAGGCATAAGGACCCAATATTCTGAATGTGCTTTTAAACTGAGAGACAGACCCCATATAATTTTACATTCTCAATTTTGGCCAAGGTATATCATGATGCTAATGCTAAAATCAAACTTTTTTTTTCAGGTAAATGTTGTGAAAGAAGAGCATGCAGCAAAACAGCAGGGGAATCTAAATCTACGTGTATTAAGATGTCCTCTGTGACTGTATTCATATAGAAGATTTTTGCTCCCTTTCATCTTAGAACTTTTAAATATTTGACTGAGAATATGGCAACAGAGGTGGCTATCGTGCTCCAGTTGCCATATGAGGCAACTGAATCAACCACCAGGCCCTCCATGGGATACAGTCAGACTCCAGGAAAGTCAGTGATGAAACCAAGTCCACTAAAGCTTTTGGATCCAGCTCGTTCAAAACTTACCACTGTTGAGACAAAGAGGATCATATCTGTTTTGGATGAGACTATCTTTAAGATAGAACTGATCAGTCTGATCTCTCACATTACTGAATGTGTGGGTGATTTAAGCACTATCCTGGGATCTGAGCTCATAGGTACCCTTAAGGAGCATGAGCGGCTTTCAAACAACATGGAAGCTTTACTTACCCAGCTTCAAAGAGAAGGTTTCCTGAAGCAGGATGATGGAAGAGGGGACCTTGTAGGAACTGACCGGCGTCTTCAATTGCATCAACAAGCTGTAAAAAGCTCTATAAGAAATATTCTGAGACTCTTTCAGGCTGACCCTATAGCTTCTCAAGCTGTGAAAGACGAGGCTTATGCTAGGGATTTATCATCTGAAATGTTTCTCAAAAGGTTGTCAGAATTCCGGGGTTTCTTATTTGAGAAACTCCTGACTAGTCCCTTAGAAGAACAAGAAAAGATTCAATTCATGGAAGAAATCTCCCTCCAGGAAAAGAAAAACAGTGAAACTATTGCAGCATTAGAGGCAGAACTTGCAATGGCAATCCAGAGTCGAGATGATGAGGTACAGTGGTGGTAAGACTAAACATTTCAAACTAGAGACCTAGGTCATTGTAGGAAAGGCCAGTAAACTAAACTATATTCTGTTTGTTGCCTCTCAAAGTGGAAGTCACTAAAATATTTCTTAATACACATTCTGAATTAGAAATAGTTATATCTACAATATAGTTGAGAGAATATGTCTGTCTCTTTGTTCAAGAACTTTTCCAAAACAGAGTTAGGGCTACCAAATACAGTGTACAGCCTTCTCTTATCATAACGTAAAAGTAAACTAAACTATATTCTGTTTGTTGCCTCTCAAAGTGGAAGTCACTAAAATATTTCTTAATACACATTCTGAATTAGAAATAGTTATATCTACAATATAGTTGAGAGAATATGTCTGTCTCTTTGTTCAAGAACTTTTCCAAAACAGAGTTAGGGCTACCAAATACAGTGTACAGCCTTCTCTTATCATAACGTAAAGCAGCGAGGCTGCGGGGCTACAGCAGCTGCCAGAGCTGAAGCTGGCTGTTTGCAGAGGCTCAACTATCTCCAGCACCCATAGAGACTGATTTTTGCACTGTGACAGAAGTGGTAGCAGGAGCCTTCCTCCCGCTCCCACCCAGATAAGTTGGTGGCTTGGCCTCCCCCTCACCACCTGTGTGGCCGATCTTGCTGCTGGCTGCGGCACTGGGCTGAGACGGTGGCAGAAGGAAGCAAATAAAATGTTAACAGTCTGCCTAAAGTTTGTGAATGAGTTTGCTGGTCCACAGTATAAAAAAGATTGGGAACTACTGACTAAAAGCAAGGTAAGGGTTTGATTGTGCCAGGAAAATGGAATGTGCCTTCTCATAAAACCATATAGAAAAGAAACAGAATTACCAGGCAAGTGAAAGGGGTGAGCTGGGGATTTGCCCCCCATCTGGGACTTCCTCAGCGCCAAGCCACTTTCTTCCTTCCCCTCCAGGCCCTCTTTAGAGTGGGCTGAAGTCGTGCCTCCTTCCCCCAATTCATATGGGAACATTGCTGACTGTTCTTCTTTGTCAGGGAGCAAGGGGAAAGTGCAGTTTGCTGCAATCCTCAATCTGGCTGGGGACTGTAGGGGGCACAAATCAGGACCTGTCTCAGCCTGGGAACATGTACCCCTCCCCAGGTTGTACCTGGTGGAGCCGCAGCAGCTATGGGGAGGTGCTTTTCACCTGGCCCCAAGCTGCTCTGATGCATACTGAACCCCTCATCCTCACGCCCTCTCCAATGCATGCTTTAAATGAAGCATTTTCATTTTATTTTCCAAAAACAAAAAATAATGAAGTTAAGGGCCCAAACAGTACTGGGTAAATCTAATTCTAAAAACAGTTAAAATGAATCTCTGCATATTTAGATTCAGGCACTCAAACATAGTTCTCCATCTTCATTGGCCAGCTCAAATCATATTGGAACCCAGTTTTACCCACTACTAAGTTTAAAAAGTATTAAAAAATATGACACAGGCACTATGGCAAAGAGGGTGTCACAAAGCCTCTCCTAGTCAGGGCCATAATGTCAGCTTTCACTGTAAAGTACTAGTACCATTCCCTGTAACAGATAGTGAAATAGTGACAGTAGTAACAATTCTAAAATTCTATTTTAAAAATCCATTTTTAATACAGACTCCATATTCACTATTTTACTATATATGTTAGAAATGTGTGTCTGTCCGTCCATTTGTTCAAGAACTTCTCCTAAATGGTAAGAGCTAGAACCACCAAATTTGGTGTACAGCTTCCTCTTATAATGTAAAGCAAGGCATGTGTTTGGTTGTGCCAGGACAATGGGATGTACCTGTAATTTGATTGTTTCTGGCAGAAGACACAGTTATACTGCAGAAAGTCCACAAGGAGCCCACAAATGGGCCAGAGATAGGAACCAGGACAGCTATAACCGCATTGGGCCAGCAGGGGGCAGGGGTGGAGAAAGGGACAGCTGTCTACTGTATATTTCAAGTAATAGAGAAGTAGCTGTGTTAGTCTGATCTTGGTAAAATTTAAAAAAGCAGTTGTAGCACTTTAAAGACTTACAAGAGGATTTATTAGGTGATGAAAAAGCTCATCACCTAATAAACTATCTTGTTAGTCTTTAAAGTGCTACAAGACTGCTTTTTTTGTTTTAATATAAATTTCAGAGAGTTTGTCTGTTTGTGTGTCTCTGTCTGTTTGCCTGTCCCCTACCAGGGGTACATGCACCTTTGCCCTAGCTGTGCCCAGTGCAGCTGCGGCAGCCATGGACAGGTGCTTCTCATCTGGCCCTAAGCTGCTGCGATCCTTTCTCCCTGGAGCAGCCTCCATACTGAACCCTTCAGCCTTTGCCCCACTCCAGAACAATGATTGAAATGAAGAAAACCAAACTTATTTGAGTTAAGGATCTGATCAATGCCAGGTCAATCTTCTAGTTTGACATATTGTTATAGGCATTTTCTATAGCCTTCATCATAGTGCATCATTGCCTCATGAATATTAATGAACTAAGGCCCACATCCTCAAAGACATTCCCCGAAATACCTACAGGGATTTAAGGCTATAGCTCATAACCTTCTTCTGAGGTAATATTGTTTCTTCATTTTATAGCTGTGGAAAACAAGGCTTAAATTACATATAGGTTGGTGAGCGGAGCCAAGACAAGGACTCAGATCTCCTGAATCTAAGGCCTGGCCTACACTAGGAGTTTAGATTGAATTTAGCTGCATAAGGTTGATTTTCTAAATGATGCGTCCGCACTACCAAGCATGTCACATCAACTTTAAGGCCTGCTCAAGTTAATGTTTGTTGGTTATTTCATAAAGAATAATGCTATTCCTGATCTTGTATATTCAAAGTTACAGTCGTGTAGACCCAGCATAGAGAAATTCAAGGTTCTTGGCCTCTGGGAAGCATCTCACAGTGCCGTGTTCTGGCCAAAATTTGCGCCTTTACTGGTCTCTAGTTGAACAGGAAAATCCCCAGAAAAATTTTAATTTAATTTCCAGGGTGGCCAGTTTTGCAAGCACATCTCAGAGCAAGTAGCGCTCCATGGTACATGAGGCCATGACTTCAGCCAATTCAAATACTGCAATGATTGTGAATACTTCTACTCCCATGGGCTACAATTCCCTGGGATGCAGAAGAGTGCCAGTGTGGATTGTCTGGAAGCAGGAGCAGCCTGAGGCCGGCTGCAGCAGCTGGCACCCTAGGCAGGGTGGCGCAATCAGCGCCCCTGCCTGCACGGCTGTCAATGTCCGTAATGTCATCACAGGGTGCCCGGGCCAGCAGGCCCCTAGGCAGCTGCCTAACTCACTTAGGCTCATGGGCTGCCCCTGTCTGGGAGATCTTGGACCTCATTGAGGCATGCGGAGAGGAATCCATTCTCTTCAAGTTCCAAACCAGCAAATGTAGCATGGACATTTACGTGAAGATCATAGGCTGCCTGATGGCTAAAGGATATTCCAGGGATGTCTAGCAGCACTGAATCAAAAACTGAGGAGCTCAGGTAGTCATGAGGCAAAGGAGGCAAACAGATAGTCTGGTGCACAACTGCACAGATTCCTCTTCTATGAGCAAGTGGCCAGACATTCCTGGCGTCAGCATGGAGGACAGCATAGTGGCAGAAGAGGGGGATGAGAAGGAGTATTTTCCAGCCAGCAGTCAATGAGAGCCAGGATCTTTTCACCGTGCTGGAACCAGTACCCTCCTTCCAGGATGTCTCTCAGTTGAGCACTGACCCCGGGGAGAGCACTTCTGGTGAGTTCACAATTCAAGCAAGTTAAGGCAATTGGGTGTGAAGTACAGTGCACTCTGTGCCTACATAACTGGGGGTGGGGGAAGGGGAGGAACTCAGAACCACTTATTAATGTGACTGAAGATGAAGCAGGAATTTTCCCTGCATATATCCATGAAGTTCTCACACAGGAATTCTTTGATCTGTCTCACAAGATTTTTGTGGAAACCACTCTTATTCTGTCCTCCATAGTAGGACAGCTTCCCTCACCAAGATATCAGTAAGTAGTCTGGCATCATTAAACCATAAAGCCTTACAGCATAAGGTCTAGGTTTCTGGCCACATTTAGTCAGCATCTGCTCCCAAAGAAGGGAAGCTATTTGCACTCTCTGAGGGAGGCTGTGTCTGCTGGATCTGGACATAGAGGGAAGCCCTGTCACCCCTCCCTGCCTTCAGACTTCTGTGGGTTGGAAAAGTAGCACTGTCCTAGAAATCTAGTGTGTGCTGGATCCTGCCCTGGCTGGCCTTTTACCATGCCTGCCTGCCTCCAAATTGCATGAGTCCAGATGCTCCCCTTAGAACTCTGTGTGCTTGCTGTAAAGTGGCCACTTTAAAGCAAAAATTTGGCCTTGCACAGAACACATTTCCATTGTCTTTACAGAGACCTTCGCTATAGGATAACAGATTGGGGTGTGGGATTAAAGGCAAAGATAGGGAATGCAGGGGCAGCTTGTTGAGGGTAATGTATATGAGTCTCAAAACTGGTCATTCATAAAACTGTCCTTCAGAGCCTCTCTGATTTGAACTGCCCCAGACTGTGCTCTCCTTATTGCCTTGGTGTCCATCTGCTCAAAGTCTCTGGCTGTGTGCCTTGCCTCAACACCCCACCCTGCCAGATAAGTTTCCCCTTTGCTCTCACAAAGATTATGAAGCACACAACAGGCTGACACCACAAATGGAATGTTGACTTCATTGAGGTTCAACCAAGTCAGGAGACTCCTAAACATACCCTTTAAATGTCCAAAAGTACATTCAACCACCATTCTACACTTGCTCGGCTTGTAGTTGAATTGCTCCTTGTTGGGGGCCAGGCTGCCCATGTACGGCTTTATGAGCCATGGGAACAAGGGGTTGGTTGGGTGGCCAAGGATCACAATAGGTATTTCCTCCTCTCCAATTTTCATTTTGTTGTCTGGGAAAAAAGTTGCAGTATGCATCTTTCTGAAGAGGCAGGAATTCCTAAAGATGTGCACTTCATACACCTTTCCTGACCATTCCACATTGATGTCAGTG